ATATATATATATAAATAAAATGTATATAAATATTTATAATTTTTTGTCTAAATGCCTAAAACCACAGTTAAGACTTTTAGACACTAAAATAACTCGATTGATGATCCGGCTTGAGAAATTCTGCTGCTTCATCACAGCTCTGAATAATTAAGCAGCTATTAGTGGTTAGAATCACACAAAGCAGGACGAGAGAAAGGCTCCGTTCATGTCCAGCCACCGGGACATTCATTTAATTTGAGTGAAGCATCTATTGTTTTTCCTTTAAACAAACTAATCCTGAATAAATACGCCGTCGGGCGGCGATGTGATTGCTGACCTGCACACACACATGCGTGAGTACGGTTTCCCCGGGTTGCTCTTCTTGAAGTCGGCCACCGTGTTGGGCTGGTAAACATTGAAACAAATCCTCCAATCGTCCGCATCTTTTAACCTGAGAGGACAAAGCACAAGGTCATCCTGAACGATGCTGACTGCATCAGCTCAACGCCCACGGCCTTTATGGTCAGCGAGACGAGTGAGCGATGACTTTGTTTCTTTTTTCACTCGCATTTTCTAATCACAGTAAACACACAGAGGCTGCAGTCGTCACAGCTTATAATCAAGCCCACATGAAGTCTCAGCTCCAGAAACAGAAAACCAGAAAGCAGACTTGCAGCAGTGGCATAAATTTAGGCGTTTTTCAGAAAAGTTGACCTTGAGGTCTTGTCTGAGCTTTTCAGTAGGATCTGATGCATCTCTGTAGGGCTGTGCGATATGACCAAAACCTCATATCCTGATATAAGACATCTATCGTCCGATAACGATATAAATCACAAAAATGTAACATTTTCTGTAAATTCTGTGAATCTCGGGCAGCTCGACTTGCGTGAAGTGTTTCCAGCTGCGCGTCATGTTTTTCATCATTTTTAGACATAAGTTGTAACGGCGCCGTTTTCTTTGTATTTATTACACGGCGTGCTGCGGGGAAAAGCCTGTTCTAACGTTTGAGTCTAAGGTTTCTTTTTTAGCACCTGGCGGCTCTTTTTGCTTCTCATCCGTAAATAATCTGCATCTTTCACGTGATTCAGTTTATTTTGAAAAGTCTCAACAGGATCTTGAGCTTTATTGTGAAAGGTTTATGTGGAAATAACGACAACGCATAAAAACAAGTGCTTGTCCGTCTGTAGTGTGGTTACATTAAACATAAGAGAAAGAGAGAACTTTAAGAAATTAATACAGCCACTACAGTGACATCAGAACCATGAACAAATATTGCCGTAAACAGTTTATTTTGCGACACCACGAAACAAACGATAGCGTAAAATGAAACGACAGACGTTTTTATATTGTCATCCGATATATGGTTATATCGAGCAGCCCTACATCTCTGGCATTAATTCTAAGATCCCACGTTGCCTTTACTGAGGGGTACAAACGTCCGACTGTGCACTGGATGTGCAGGGTTAAAAATAACACTTCTGCTCATGTGAGTAAAACAAATCGTGGATACCTGGACGCTCCCTCCAGCAAATGAGTCGGTTTGATCACGCTGATTTTTTCCAGCAGTTCTCCTGGAAAAAAAACCTCAAATCACACAAAACAGTAAAAAACATTTTAAATTAAAATCTCCTTCACGGTCATGTGATCTCACCTGTGGCGATTGGCTGTGTCGGGTCATGTAACGGAGTAACTTCCCTGTTCCACAGGTGCGCTGGTCGACCTTCCCGCTTACCCTTTCGCCTCGCCATCAGCTCCTGATACTCCGCCCAGTTTCTGCACCGCCGTACCTTTAAGGAAGCCCGTATAAATTAAATTTGATCGTCAGCTCCTCCGATACCTTTAGTTTTTACAAACCTCTCTGTTTTTGTTGACGTCCCACCGCCGCCTGTATTTCTCCCTCTTCTGCTCATTGGCTGACATCTTCACCTGCCGCAGGTTTATTTTCTGCCTCCAGGGGGCAATGTCACAGAAGCCCACCTTCAAATCCCCGGGCAGCAGAGAGGGGTCTGGAGGGGCCAGGTCACTGGGGAAGTGCTCCCTGGAGGTGGAGCCCAGGTCAGGAAAAGAGATGGAGCTGAAGTCCCAGCACGAGGAGCCAGATTTGGAGCCGTGACCGGAATCTTTGTCCGAGTCCCCGAGAACATCCATCATCCACCAGCTCCTGCCTCCGCCCTCGTCTGCTGAACTCTGGGCCTCCGGAGGCTCTGGAAGTTTTATATCTTCCTCGCCTTCACTGCATTTATCCTCCTCCATCTTCTCAGTGGAGCATTCCTCCTGAGCTTCAGCACGGCTACACAGAAGAAAACTCTTATAAGACTTCTTACATTTTTGTTTTAACACACTGGGGTGAAATGTTAAGCTTAGAAACAAAAAATTAACAGCGACTATAACATCACACTGAACTATAAGACAAACATTAGCAGCAACATCCATTTGAAGATTTTGGAGATCTCTCATTTGTGATATTTTGAAACCAAAGGTATTTAAATGTCAGCTCACACCAGCAGAGAGCAGCACAGACTCAGCTTTCATGTGCAGCTGCACGTGGAGGCATCCAGATTTCTTTTTGTAGCTACAGAAAAAACTAATATAGTATATAATAATAATAATAATAATATAATAATAAACAACTCATTTTTATTGTACAAGACAATAGCTAAATAATAGCTTTTGTTACTAAGATGTAGTTTCACAGATTGCAAAGCAGCTCTTTACCTGCACGTCGCAGTGGGGGTGGAGGAAGGGGCGGGGCTGAGGCTGCGTTTCCTCTTCAGCTGTCTCCCTGCTCGGTCACGTGACTGCGGCAGGTTGAGCTGCCTCGCGTAGGACGATGACTCAGAACTGCGAGCACACAAACATCCACCTACGGAGGCTGTTCCCACGCATACTTAACTTTTCAAGGCCGATTTTAATAGATACACTAACACTGTCATCTCTGATGCTCAATTATCTTTATCATCTTAAATGTCTGAGGGGTAAACGTTACCTGGGATCAAACCTGAGCACCACATAGCCGAGCCTCTTCAAATGCCCAAACACCTTTGGGATGAAACAGAGTCGTTAGCTCATTTCACAGGTGGCATTTTCACAGGTGTGCTGGAGTAAAGGTTGCACCTGATATTGCTGAAGGCTCACGGTGTTTGCAGACAGAAACTTCTCGTACCCGTCCTGGATGGAGAGTGGCAGGTCCTGATGAAACACCTGCAGGTTTCCCTGTTCCCATAACAACACAGACACAGGACTAATTATGTGCTCCGAGGAGGAAAACCGCACCGAGCAACAGGTTTTATCTGCAGACTCACACACTCCATCAGGTACAGAGCCTCCTCGGGGAGCAGGCACTGCTTCCCGTTTGCAGAAAAGCCCATCGTCTGCCAGAACTTCCCCTGTGGAAAAATAAGAAAAGATCCAGCAAAGGAGCGACTGAGGACGAGCTAACGCAGCAGCTTTTTCTAGGTGGTGTTGTGACAGTGAAGCAACTCACAGCCGGAGATTGAAGCTCCACAATCTGCTTGCTGGGAATCCATTGGCCGTTCACGAGGTTTCCCCTGTGGATTAAAACAGATGGAAGCCATCTCACATCAGGACACGCACAAAAACACAAACACGTGTTTCTGTCCACCTGATGGATTTATAGCCAAGATTTGGGCTCATTTTTGAAAAACCTTCAAGATTTTAAACCTGAAAGACGTTAACGTTCACTCAGCAGTGCAAAGGATTAAAAGTCAAATGTATTATTTTGCTGTTACCCAGTTTTTTTCTTTAGGATTCGTGGTGCTTTGAAGGTTTTCTTGTCTGAAATCATGTTTCTATTTTTCATTTATTTTTCTGGACTTTTAAAAATCTGCTCCCACAAACACAAGAAAAGCTGTTTAATCCATCACTGTGCACATTTACCTACTTTTATTTTGTGCAGTAAAGCTGTAAATAGTGGCTGCTTTCAGCTCCTTTCAATCACAGAAAGGTAGTAACATCGATGGTCACCCATCAATCTAAATGTTATTTTGTCTGAGCTAAGAATGGAGCTTGTGGATGTTGAAACTCAGGTGAATATTAGACACCCTTATATGTCTTATATGCACCTCCAAAGCTGGGCCTGATGAGTAACCCCACGGGTAATGAGAGGTACTCACAGCCTCTCCACTCTCTCCTCTGAGAGGAGGCTCCAGTGTTCATTCAGGCTCTGCTCGAGTCGCTGCTTCTGCTCGTCGGAGTCATCGGGGAAGAAGTCCTTCTGTCCTCTGACGGGGATTTTGTGACTGCGGGAGCGGGCTGCGAACAGCTCCGACGGGCTGAAAGTTGTTAAAGAAAGACAACATCGTTCAGCTGTTTGATGCACACGCGATCACAGTTACTGCCACTGAAACACTGAGAAGGAAAACCACTGCACTGCTTTTAGATTTCATAACACAGCCTGAAACTAAATGTGCTGGAGGTGTTTGAGGAGGGCTGGCTTTCAAGAGCAAGAATTTTTTCTGTGAAAAAACGTGTCCTTCTCCATTATGTTGGAAGTTTCCTGCTAGAACACAGTAAACGTGTGAATAACTGTCAGCTGACAGTCTTTTCTTGTCTCAGTTTGAAAAACAGCTTTAAATAAATGCTCTGCCGGGGAAGAGGAAGGCGGTGTACAGCAAGTGTTTCATATTTTCCTTTTAACAAAATGCAATAAAAAAAACAAACATTCTTGATCAGCAGAAGAGGAAGAAACTCCTGAAAAATATTCAACACAAGGAGAATCAGACTCTAAACCTCCCACTCTGGAGTCCCTCTTTTATCTTCTTGCTTGTTGTTCAGAGCAATCACTGACTCAGATCTTAGTGTGAGGGTCATGTGAGGTCTGTCACTAAATCTGGATTTTATCACATGAAAAACATAAGCAAACTTTTCTCTCTCAGTAACTCAGAAGATGAGCCGCTGCAATGGTCCTTAAAGGGAGCAACCGAAAGAAGAAGAAGCTGAGGCTCGACTCTTGTAATGCTCCGTTGTCTGGTCTATGCAAAAATGTCTCACATCAACAACAACTGATTCAAAACTGCAGCCAGACCAGTTTTAAAACACTCTGGCTGCTAGTTTGTGCACTGACTTTAAAATCCTTTTAGCTGTTTTTAAGGCACTTCTTAGTCTCTGTACATCATATTCGTCTCACATGGTGGCAGGTAACGAATCACTAAAGCCAGGTTTCTCATTGTTTTAGTTTATTTTGTGTTTCATATAACTAAAATGATTTTTCTAGCCCATATTCAGTTCATATCTGAGCTTTAGGCAACTGTAAAATCTTTCTAGCAAAGCTGCATCGGTGTGAAAGATTATCATGACAAGAAAGCAGCAGTCCCCAAGTTACTGGCATACTTTCCAGGCTTTGCATGTTGGTGTATAACGTTAGTATCACTTCTGAAGTCTATCTGCGTGTAATTAAAGTGCCATCATGAGTCATAAAGTCGTGACTCAGTGCCATGGGACCTCGCCCAGACTTGTTTTAACAGGACTCCACCCTGATGCTTTGTCTGTGTGCAGAAAAACAAAAACAGCAGACTTCCAAAAATTATTTTACTGTTACTTAATTCCTAACTTTCCAAATGCTTTCTTTCTCCCACGGCTGTTTTTCACCAAAACACACAACAGAGGGTGTCAGAGAGCCGAATACAGAGTGTCACTATTTCAGAAAACGTGTCCAGATAATATTTCAGTAACACTGTTTCTCTGGAAACAACTGTGCAGCTTCATCGGTGCGTTTTAATGAAACTATAGGCGTTTTCTCTTCAGCACGTATTCACGTTTAAGCTAACAGTTAGCTTTAAACTAACCCGTGCTACCATGTGCAGAAGAAGTCTGAGAGTTCCGTCCACAGTGATTCAATGACAAACAGCCGCTGAGGGAGAACACAAGACAAAGTACCGCTACCCTGCGAACAAGCCCGCTCACAGGTACCGTTAAAGGTAAAAACGCACCTTAAAATTTCACTGTAGAACTTCCCTTTATCGTCTGTGTTGTTTTGATCCGCCATGATGCCGGGTCTGCCTGCTACTGCGGCTCTCCTCTGGGTCCTGGTGACCGTCAAATTCATCACTTATAATCGTGGCCATCAGAGGGCGCCAAAGGGCACAGTTTAAAATCAGGGGAGGGTTTTTCCAGAATATTTGATTTGTTCCGGCCAAAACAAACCAAAGGGTCCCACAAGAAGGCAGAAAACTGGATCAGGCAAAAATACAGGGTAGAAAATTAGTGCAGAAAATGTTGGTCATGATTTTCAGGTTCATTCTACTAACAGCATCTAACGATTATCCCCCAAAATTGATTCTGTTCATCTGGATGTAGCGTTTTTAGTAAATGACTGTTTTGCAAGTTGAAAGCTTCTTTCTTTTCATGATAAATGAAGGAGACATAAAATCTTACGTTTATTTAAAGGGTTAAATGTCTATTTTATAGCCTTCACTGAAATTTCGATGTCATTGTAAATATGAGTCTCAACAATGGTGCATTGTTAAAAAGAAAAAATGAACTGGTCAGCTCAGCAACTCCAAATAACGCTGCAACACTGGAATGCTGCAAATTTTTGGACTGATCCAATACCAAGTAAATACAGGGCTGGTGTTCTGACAAAC